GAGCCAAAATCACCACAACTCGAATTGTTAGTGATCCCTAGCCAGATTTATCGCAAAACCACCTCGTCGTTATAACCGGACAGAAGCGATGTTTGGATGGGGTCCTGTCATATATCAGCTCGCCCACTGCATGCAGGAAGAGGCCAAAACACAGCCAATATGAGTCCAAATGTTAAACTACAGCGTTGGGACCATCTGCAAGTTTAGCGCAAAAACACCGGCAAGCCTGAAGCATTGCAGCCTACCAGTGCTCTGAAGTTAAGGCAAAGGTCGAACTTTAGCACACGAATATGTTACAAAATAAACCTAATAATAATGATTTTTAAAAGAACCTCTGAAGCAGTAGCAAGGGGAATGTTATTTTTCGATCAGGTCCGGTGCCATTGCTTCCATAAATTGGTCCAACTTCTGCTCGAGCACCGGTATGATTTCTTTGTCCACAAAAATATGCGTCTCATCGAGCTCCTTCACAATGAACTTGGAATCGAGCGCTCGCGATTCGTCCAAATGCGCCAAAAGTTGGCGCATTGCTGGATCGCATCGGATCAACACGCCTTTTTTCACGTTCACCATTCAGGAACACGTTTATCCTGAAATTCTTCCCTCAGAGCGGTTTTTTGCTTGCAAAAAAAAAGGCAAAAAGCTCCAATTTCTGTAGTGGTTTGGCGACTTGCAAAAAATGCATTCCAAGTGATTTTGTGATTTTACGAAATAGAAAAATTGAAAACGAACAACGGGTTTTGGGAAGGGTAGCTTGAATGCACATCATGGTAATATGGGGCTGTTCTAAAATTTCAGCTTCCTAGCTTTTCGGGTTCTTGAGTTAATAATTTTCGCGCCAAAACTTTCACGTGTCTGTAAGCGCAAGACCTAGGCGTACGTGAAGGCTGAATTTAATTTTATGCGGGCAAGGAACAGGAAATGAGCGGGATAATTTGCTTACGAAAAATCGGCTTAACTCTGCCATCTTGGAAGGCAAGTTGCGAGACTGTAGTAAGCCCCCCTTGGATATGGTGGAGAGTGGAGGTGGCTGGGAGTTGGTAACGTGGATTTCAATGAGACATAACGGAAGGGGGGGGGGGGGGGGGGGGGGGGGGGGGGGA